GTATGCCTTAGTATTCATTGCATATATTCCATAAGGTATTTTGATAGGAGGAGTCATTCCCTATATTTGTTTTATACTCACCGTGTTTATTTATAGGGGGAGCTTTCTCTCTCTTATTCTTTTGTTTCCCTATTTTGATGTTGCCAAAGGGGGAGAAACAAGTGGATTGTGAGTACATTTTAAGAGTATTGTTCTTTATTGCTTATCTTATATAATTTTTGTGTAGATTGTTTGTCATCATCAAAAAGGAGGAGATTGTTAGGTCTCATGTTATGAGTCTACATCTTCTAATCTTGTTTTGGTGATTATAAACAATTCCTAATGTTGTTTGTCTAGTGTTTGTATTTCTTATTAGGTATTCTAGACAAACAACGATGTTGGAGGATGGATAGAATCGAGCATTCACAATCATATCCAATGGAGGTTGGTGGAATAGTGGTTGAAGCATTACAATTCAAGTTGAAGATCCAAGTTTAAGCTTCATCCGTAAGTGTACCAAGATAGAGCTTTGTTGAAGATCACAAGATTGGGTAATTTAGTTTAGGTTTTATATTATGTGTGTTAAGTACTCTAAGCTCAATATCATATACACACATATTTTATTTGGTTTCTATATATATATATATATATATATATATATACATCTTTTATTAAGTCTATAAAATCAGTTTATAAAGTTTCAAAACATGGTTTATGTCCAATGTCAAAAATAAGTGTTTTTCATTTATATGTTTTGGACTATTTTATAAAATGAAGAGATTTCTCTTTTGGGAGGTGTTTTTTGAAAACCAGTTTTTATAACATGTATATTATCATGTTTACAATTATTTTTCAAAGTTTTATATTTTCCTGATTTTATTTGCTATTTTTAAAAGAGGTTTGAAAATCAGATTTTTGTTTCAAAACAGGCTGATAACCTGTTATCAGTCGACTGGTCAGTCGACTGATGACATCAGTCGACTGATGTGTCGACTGAAGAAATCGCCTAGAACAACAAATAGTTTCTGTTTTGTTTTGGTCGACTAACCGGTCGACTGATGAGATCATCAGTCGACTGATAAGGTCGTCAGTCGACTGATGAGGAAAATGCCTCTAACGGTGAGCTCATCAGTCGACTGATGGAAGCCGTCTGTCGACTGATGGCATAACGGCTAGTTTTTTCAGTCTTTGTCATGTTTTGGTTTTTTGTCTTTTTGCTGGGGTTTCTTGATCTTTGGGGTTTCCTATAAATACCCCCTTATACCCAGTTCTATTGCAACAACCAAGAATGTTTTAAACAAGTTTAACAAGGGTTTAAAGTTTGTTTTAGTCTGTTTAAAAGAGCGTTTAAGAGTTTTGTTTGTGAAGAGAATTTCACAAGAGCAAGTGGAGATCATCTATTGTGTTTGAGCATCCAACTCTTCTCTCTCTTTCTCTTGATCTATAAAGAAGTTTTTCTAAACTCTATTTCTAGCAATTTATATGTTTGAACTTAATTTCCATAAGCTAGATTTATATTGAGTTTAGTTTTCATTTATTTATCTCATTGTTTACACACACAACCATTGAGCTTATTGTATTTTTATACATTGTATAATTTGGGTTGTGGGGTTTGTGTGACATTGAGTGTGAGTTTACATTGTGTTCTCATCCATTGTAGAGAACAATTCATTTGTTGTGTGCCTAATTGTGAGGATTCACTTTGTAATACACTAGTACACCAAGAGGAGTGTGTGGTGAGAGACGGGATCGTCCCAAGAGGAGTGAGGTAGGTGGTAATGCCTAGAGAGAGATTGTAATTTCTAACACTTGAGGGAGACACGGGCTAGAGACCAACACTTGAGGTGATAGTTAGTGTAGTTACATTGTGAGTGATTATGAACGTTGATCGGTGAGCGTTGAAAACCGACATTGTGAAGTGTAAACGTTTTTCGGGTAAGCGTAGAAAACCCGGTGTGATAGTGAAGATCTCCTCAAGGTGAGGAGCGGAGACGTAGGTCGTGGGGACCGAACTCCGTGATCATATCGTTTGTTTGCGTTTGTCTTTGGCGTTCATTTATATTCATGCTTATTATTTTTATCGCCATTGTCAAGTGCTCTTTCTTTATATTGCCCACTATGTTGTTTATCTTGTTTATGTTTATTTCACCCTTGTGTTACTTGTATATCCTTGCACATATATTGTTCATATTTTATGTTTATTTCACCCTTGTGTTACTTGTATATCCTTGCACATATATTGTTCATATCTCATTTGCTAGGATATTTGTTAATAATATATCCTTGCACATATATTGTTCATATCTCATTTGCTAGGATATTTGTTAATAAGTTTTTAATTTGGCTGAAATCGGATTAGATTAGTATAAACCTTATTCATCCTCCTCTAGGGTTTTTTCCTAGGGGCATTAGGGTACTTTCAATTATCATCGTGTTATTTATCATTTATATATTATCATCACACATACTAATCAAGTACTTTATTTTGTAGAAAATATGTGAGATGGCATCGGCGAATCGCAGATCGAAGCTATACGATCACTTCTTAGGATCTACTCCTTATGCTCAGATCGAACATAAGTATTTGAGTGAAAACCCGGTATGATCATATTATTAAAGCTAATATCACGTGATTAGTTTCATACATTTACTTTGGAATTTAATATATCACAGGACGCTTTGACTATATCCCCGACTCTTTTTGCTAAAAGAGCTTATACACCTCCCCAGGGCTATGAAAATATAGAGGGAAATATCAAAAAATAGAGAAAATTAATGAATTGGTCATAAGTATAAGATTAATTTTAGATTTGTATATCCTTAATGATTTCTTATCAAAGTTTCTAATTTTTATGATAAATGGTATACAGGCGGCGGCGGAAGCTTTCCAAAACAATGCCTTGACTCGTGTCAGTCAGTCTCAGGGTACAGAGGACACTCTTGTAGAGCCTAACCGCATAACCAGAGATGAGCGGATGGAAGTCATCGACGGAGCTTACGGTTTACAACCAAAAAAGAAAGGAAGAGTGTCTTTGTCAAGTGTTAGAGTTAAGACATTCACCACCACCAATAAGCCTAGCAGCCACTCTTTAACCTCGACACGACCATGCGACACGTCATACGTCGTGGGTAATATTGGAAAATACTTGTTAAAGAGTGTTGAAGCCTCTTTGGCTTTAATTTTTGTTCCCACTATTAAGCACGAGTTAGGTAGTGCACAGACGACCTAGGATGTCGTTCAACGACTCATCGATTCTCAACCCTTAAAGGACTTGTTTCCGTAGCCTATGTATATGGATATCATGGATATGACATTTGATGAGCATGTAGTTGCAAGTGGTGGAGAGGTATATATGTCATATTATATATGCATTTATTATGAATATTTTGGAATATATTTTTATATTGATTTATATTTTTTTAGGCTAGAGGTACCATAGGAAGCAGCAGTACAGTACGACATTTTGATGTAGTGGAACATATTATGACCTCCAGATTATATATATATATATATATATGAATCGATGAATGATGAATGTGATTATTATTGGATGTGAATTGATGAATGTGAATATTGGTAGATGTGAATTGATGAGTGTGAATATTGTTGGATGTGAATCGATGAATGTGAATATTGTTGAATATATTGTGAATATTGACAGCAACAAGTATATATTCCCGATCGGAGGGCTCAAAAAGCAGTAATTTTTTTTTTTCCAAATAACATTCATTAGCGATAGGATGGTCCGTCGCTAATAAACATTGGCGACAGGGTATTTCGTCGCAAATGTACATACATTGGTGACGGCGGCATCCGTCGCCAAAGCTTATTGGCGACGTGGGGCTTCCCGTCGCTAATAAGCTTTGGTGACGGTAAACTGGCGACAACTAGTTTACCGTCACCAATGCTTATTAGCGACGCAGGAAGCCCCACGTCGCCAATAAGCTTTGTGATGGATAGATTGTCATCGCCAAAATGCATTGGTGACGGCGTAGGACCCGTCGCCATTGTTTTCCGTCGCCAATGTGCATTGACGAGGGGATTATTGGCGATGGACTATTGGGCGTCACGAATGTTCATTCATGATGGATTTGATTGCATTGGCGACGAATTTCCCCCTCGCCAATGACTTGTCTACTAGTGAATGCATAGTCCCCCTCAATAATGTCATCTCTTTAAGGTCGTGAGTAGAAAACTTGACAGCTCTCTCTCAAGATGTGGAGCCCGCTAGATTCTGACTGTTACTATGGGGGTTGAACAAAAACAAAGAAAGTCACTGTGTGGCACGTGAGTTATCTAGATTCCTTGTGTGTCTTGTGATCAAGGAAATTGAAGGGAAGAAGACTATGAACCATACAAAGGTTTTTGGATGATCAAAGTTAGGCCAAGAGCAATAAGTGTCCAAGACCATGGCTGGTGGAAAAAGACCATGACTGCTTTGAGAAGAAAAATTAGCACAGAAGTTGAAAGTTGAGATCCACGTCACCCACTTTATTTTCCTAGGTATAAAGAATCCTTAAGGCTTCTCTAGTTCTATTTTTTAATTAGCCGCTAAGACATGGACCGCTTTTATAACTAATCCCTGTGTTTGTGCTTTTTTTTTCTTAATGTCAAATCTCAACTTTTCATTCCGTCTTCTTTGTTAGATCAAATGCCATGAAAGCTCAATTGGGTATTGTTGCCGTATTCTAATATTGTTTGGAGAGAAAATCCCTTGTATCTGAATCTTTTAGTTTAATTGATGATGGATTCGGATCCTCTCTACTACCAAAAGAGTAGTGGAGAGGGTCCAAATTCATTGTTGATTCTACCCTCAATAGAATCAACAACGGCACTTCTTCTTCTTTTTTCCCCCAAACGTTCAGGAGCAAGGTCTAAAAAGAAGACAAAATAAAAAGTTGAAGGCTGATTTGTAAAATAAAAATATAAGGGCTAGTTAGTAAAGTGGTCTATAACTTAAAGAGTGCTCGTTATAGACTTTTCTTTGCTGCCAATAGCAAAAGTTTAACATGCACACTAATATTCCCAAGATACATGAATCTCATTCACCTACTTAGAGAACTGAACAAACAAATATATATCACTCCAAAGAAAGGAGCACAATTACACAGGTAACCGATTACATAGGTGACACTAACACAAAACTACTACTCTCTCTCCAACCTCTTATGGGGACAAGAGCAAGTACATAAGCAAAGAAGAAAATTAGTTTAAAAAAAAATCTCCAAGACAGAGAACAATTCACAAGTAAAAAAAAAAAAAAAAGAGAATGTGTGTTTTTTTATGGGCAATTAGGGTTCTTGCCAGGACCACCAAAGTAGAAGTAATTCCCCCAATCGCCATTGTTTCCATTCTGCACATCATAGCAATTGGATTGCTCGGTGAAGGTGCTAACCCCATTTGGAGCCCTCAACTTGTTCGATCCGTCGACGATTTGGATGTTTCTAAAGTAGCTTGCTTTGCCAAATCCTTCATCTGGAAAATGCCCACTGCCCATCTGAGTTGAAGTGTGCTCCCCATCTGCTTCTGAGTTCACAACTTCACCTCCCCATTCTATCATTGATGCGCTATCAGCTAAATATGAGAACAAGAATGAAGGCCAGTAGCCCAGCACGTAGTCATTCCCAAATTGCATCCACCAGTTACCCTCCCTTGGATCCTGCTCATAAGTTTTACCACAATGAACGAGGTTGCATAGAACAAAAATAGTTTAATTGCACGCACATAAACCTCCTCGTTGTTTTGAACTTAATTACTACCCCTGTAGTTTCATTGTTGCGGATAGACCCCTGGATAATTTTTTTTTAATCTTTATCCTCACATACGCTCACTAATTTCACCCAGAGGCAATATCCGCCAAAATTTCAACAAGGACAAACGATCCAAAAAATTTGAACCTAGGGGCCTATGTAGTTTCCTTGTTGCATATAGGCCGCTAGGGGAATTTTTTTTCTCTTACTATATTACCCTCGTATAATAGACTCCCTAATTTCACCAGGTATAATATCTACCAAAATTCGACCGAGAGGAACAATAAAACTAAGGGGGTAGTAAGTTCAAATTAGCCATACTATAGGGGGTCCATGTGCAATTAACCCTAGTAAAAAGAACAAAACAACAGCATGCAATCAGAGAATCTCCGCACTGTACCTACCTACAAAAAAAAAATTAATAAAAATAGTACGTTGGAGCTCTGTCGTTACCTTCCAAACAAGAATGCTGATATCATACTGGGAGCCACCGTAGCCCGAGATGGGGAAGATGCTGGCTCCCATTGCTATCTCGTTGTTGATTTGAATGAACCCTGAGCACAAGAGGTTGTAGCATCCTGTGGCTTGATAAGCATCGCTCTGAAAATTTTGTTTTCAACGCAAATAGTCATTCAACTTGATATAAAATAGAGCATCATCTCCCATTTAATGAATTCAAGAATGTCCTTATCTCATGATCTCTATAATTTATGAAGAACACAGTACTCTACTACCCATCCCTCTGGTCTTTAAACAATTGAATTTGATCGAAGGAGTAGTAAAGACATTATTCAACTTAATATAAAAAAGAGTACCCTCTTAATGGATCGGAGAATAATCACTATTATATCATGAAGAATACGGTGTTATCCATCCCTCTAATTTTTAAACAAATGGATTTGCCCATAGGAGACAATTCATCAAAGGGGTGTGATAAAAGAACTTACTGTCCAATAAGTGAATAGCCTTGTATGATTATCTCCATAGAGATCTGGACTGACCTAAATTCCAAATAGTAGAAGGAATAAGAATCAAACTCTGAATTCTTCAATCACAATGCATCTAAATCTCAAGAGAGAAACATAATAATTAAGAAGATTTTGTACCTGCCAACCAGCTTCAATGCTGTTAAGGTCCTGGCCGAAGGATCCCCCAAGAATCCACAACTGAGAAAGGCTGAACTCATTTGGCTGCTGAATCTTTGGCTCCCATACATTTATGGTTGCCTTTGCTCCATAGTACTTGTCTCCCTCTACATAAGCAATCGCATGCTACTCAAAAAAGACCCACAAACAAAAACAAAAGAAGCAAATAAGAAAGGAACAAGCAATAACATGAAAAAGAGGGGGTGAAAGCAAAGCTCTTTAGTTCAAAGCAAAGCTGGTTCTTGTATAATTTGCACTACCTGATGACCATTCACATTGAAAAGTTCAGGCTCAGTAGACTGAGGTTGCGGGATTGTTCTGTGCTTCTTCTTTCCAAATCTCTTGGTAGAACTGGCTCTAAGCAAATCCTCTCTCTTGGTTCTTCTAACAGGAATTGTGTCTTCGGGGCATTTGCCATTAAGATGCCACATTTGAGAGATTTTGTTAGGTTTTGATTCTGCTGATGATTTGGACTCAGCATAGAGGCCTTCAGGGTGAAATGAAGGCCTCATGAGTGTACCTGAATTGTGTGGTTTTTGAGGAAAGGGTGATCAAAGGCAGGTTGACGAGAGATGTGGACACAGTCTATGATATCTCCATCTGGGCTCTGCATTTTTACAGAAAATTTTAACAAATAGATGAGTATTACTAAGCAAAATGGATGAGGGAAAAAAAATCTTTTTGGTGCTAATTCTTTCAAAATAAAAGTGGCTTTTGATTCTAATTGAAGAAATTGATGGATGAAAGTGTTTAACAAGAAGACCCATAACCTGAAATTATAATTCTGGGTACTTCGTAGAAACTAAATCCTGACGTTAATTAAAGAACAAAAATTGACCCAGAAAGAAAAACCTCAAGAAAAATAATGGAAAAAACTCACAAAATCGAGCCATAAGAACTACAATGTTGCATCCTTAAATTTGAAATTTCTTTTTTGAGGTAAATTGATTTGAAAATTTTGAGAATAAAGAAAAAAAATTTCCATAAATAAATGCGGGTAAAATTTTTTCCCAAAATAAAACGAGGCTGTTGATTCTAACTGAAGATATTCGAGGAGGAAATCATTGCATGGAAGACCCAAAATCTATAGTTAATGATAGAGCAAAATATTACTAGAAAGAAAAATCTGAAGAAAAATGCAAAACCCAGAAAATTTTAGCGACTAAAATTACAACATATGTTTCTTAAAATTAGCATTTATTTCCAAAGGAAAAAAAAACAGAGAAGGGGAAGGGGTGGGCGGATCAACCTTGATTGTTTTGACAGCTGGCTTGTTAATCCGACTGAGGCGCCTCGTCACGTCCAACCTCCGCTGCTTCCTCTTGAAAGAAGCAGGGGAAGAAGAAGCGGCGCACGATAAGCAGCAGAGTAGCAGTAGACAGCAGCAGCAGCAACTTCAGCAGCGCCATCCAGCGGCCAACACTAACGTGCGCCGGCGATGGGATTATGTCCTTTAATTCTGAGGAAATAATTGAGGAATGCGGACAAAGCCCTTTTTAAACCCCACGGTGCTGGACCATCCACGCTAACCTGCGCAGCTCACTCTCCCTCCCAAAATCGTGTAGAGGTATCCGTTGGAGGGGCACAATGGGAACGAGAAACATGGGTTAACCGGAGAAATGTAATCACCACATTACCATCATGAAATAAATTCTCTCACAAGCTTTAGCTTTTCTGTCTTTATTTCCAAACTCGAGGAAATCCCCGCCCCGCCCCCCCCCCCCAAAACAAAAAAAGCTCTCAAATCAACCTAATGAACATTATGCATAAGAATATAACTGTATAGTGGTATTGCACCCAAATATTAAAGATCACAAAGTATTCCATCAATGTCAGCCACCCCCTAGCTAAAGAGGCTAATTTCAAAATACTTAAAAGTGTTGGGGGACTAATTTCAAAATATAAAAATTTGGAAGACTAATTTCAAAATATGAAAGATTTGGAAGACTAGTATTGAATAACAACTTTTCTAATGGGTGCCTATGGTACGGGCGCTCATCAGGAGAGGAGAAAGCTAGAGAGAAATGAATAATAAACACACCCTGATTTGCACTAATATCTCTCATTACCTTTTCTCTCTCTATCTCTTACATCCCCTAATGAGTGAGCATGGCCACCCGTCAGAGAAACTCATAGAAAAAACTCCGCATTTAAATATAGCAATTTACATAAAAAAAATGAGCAGCTTGCAACCAATTATAGAATTTTTGGGTATAAGTCATACATTTCGGTGAAAGTTACTATATGCAAATGAACCAAGATAAATTACCTTTAGATCCGAAAAATCAGAGCAACCATAAAAAAGGTGATGTGTCTCTTTATTAGTTATTAATATCAATTAGAGCTTCGAAAAAAATAACACTTACCTTCAAGTCTCATAGTTGGTCCCATGAATTTTTTATTTAAAAAAATGCATAATTTTTCAATACATTGACTTAAAAATATTTCAACATAGCAGTGTTTGGTTTAAGAACGATTTTGCAAAAAAAAAGATAGGCTTCAAAAGAAATAAGCATAAACATGTGGCTTTATAAACAAAAGTCCTATACATTAATCGAAATACCTACTGGCTATGCGGACGGGGATGCGCTATAATGCGCCGCCTCCTGTACTGTGAGGCAACTTCTGTCGTTTTCTTATTCCCTCTGCGTCGGGGCCGCAGCGATTTCTTCTCTCTACGGCCCTCGAGCGTACTTGGTCTCAACAATGACAAAAATAGCCCTAATGTCACGCGTGGTTCGCCCGTGTGGGAAAATAGACTTCCGAGCCGCACACACGTGATCGGTAAGTGCATGCATGGTAGTGAGCGAATTTTTGGATTAAAACTTTGGTTGGCCTTGGTAAATCTGACACGCCCGTGCATTGAGCACGAAGCTTGACGTTTAATTTGTATGTTTGTTTTTCAGTACACCTTGCAAAGTTTCGGAGCATGAAACATTAAAACTGCATTCCTGCATATATGATTTATATTCATATTGACACTGCCTCTTAAAAAAAAAAAAAAAAAAAAAACAATTTGTGTAATTGGTAACCATTAAAATTTATAAATCACATTTTAGAAAAAAGAACTATTTGATATGAGACTATGACTTATGGCATCTGCATTATTATCAGATAACTCCTCATAACTTCCAAAATACATAAAACTTTAGGGCTTATCATAAACCCCCCTTCAACTTTAAAATTTTTCATAAACCCCTAGCAGCATTAAGTGCATTTCTCGCGTGGATGATTAAAATTACCTAGGAGGATTTTCTTTGCAAGAGAAAATTATAATTCATGTTTTTCGGGGGGTTTTTTTTTGTAAACTTAAAAAGTTCAAGGGAGCTTTCTGATAATCCCTTGAGTTGAGGGGATTTTAGAATCTTTTGAAATTTGTAGGGGTCATCCGATAATTGTCAAAAGTTAAATGGGTTTTTTTTGAAATTTAATAAACAATAGGAGTTTGATCTATATATCAAACTAGCTAGTGTCATTACCCGTGCCATGCTGCAATAATTTTTTAAAATTAATTATAAATTTTTCACTTCATATTTTTGTTGCTCAATCTTTGTGATCGATATGTGACTTTAATAATCAGCTTGAGCCCCGAACATGAGAATCAAACTAAAAATAGGTATAATTCATAAACTATTGTGCATCTTGAGCAATTGAAAAATCTAAATTTACATAAACCCTTAAATATGATTAAGAAAAATTAAACTTACACTATTAATATATAAATTATTATTGTCTTTCTTAAGGATATTGACAAACTTTTAATTACCTCAAGTACTCTATTATGCACGATGTACATGGTACTTAAGCTTCACATACTTGCACTTTCGCCTACTTTGATATTGACAATTACAATTAAACATAATTTTGTGATATCAGATTACCCTTTGCTGAATTTTGTACAAACGATTTACACTCTTATCATGAACATTGTTTTGCATGCAATACATTTCCTCAATGTGCTATTAGGAAAGCTGGATAGCAAAATCTCATCGAGAAAAATTTCAAACAAATAACTGACAAAGAGAAAAATTACAAACAAAAAAGAAGGGGGGGGGGGGGGTTAAAAAAAAAAGAGGGGGGGGGGGGGGAATTATAAACAAAGAAGCAACAAAAGGGTTATATTTATATACCAATAACAAAAAAAATTACACAAATAAAATGGATACATTACTTTCATAAAATGGAGTGTAGCATTAAGATCTGTAAGATGGATGCATAAGAAAAGCCTATTCGAGCCCGCCTTATAAACAATCACATGCATCATTATAGAGTTGGAACTAATGATAAAGAAAGAGATCTAAGAACGCTTTAATCTGGATTAGCTTGCAAGATTTATAGAGAGGAGATGAATTGAGAAAGAGTGGGAAAGTTGATTAGGCTTGGCCGTTAGTAAAAAATGAGTTGATGAGATAATGACAATTAGTGCAATTAATGATAATTAAGAGATGTTACGTTTCAATGCTTTATGAAATTTCAAATATTTGAATTTGATGTGACAATATGACCATCTTCAATTTTACAAAGAACAATTTTTATAGTAATTTGTGTATAATAGATAAGATTTGGAAAGCTTTAATTGACTGACGGTAGTATATGAAAGTTTTAGAATTTGTATGAATATTTAAAAGTTTTTAGAATTTGTATGGATTACATGGAAGATGAATGACTGGTTCTCTGAAAAATGGACACATGACCAATTCTCTAAAAAATTGACATGTGGCATATTAGGATATTGTTTTAGTATATTAGATAGATAGATTGTTGAGTCTTAATTATAAGTAGTTATTAAGATAGGATATATTTTCATGTATTATAGGAAAATGAGAATAGTCTATTTCTTTATGGAGGTCGTTCTTTTATCTAATCTACAATCATGGTGTAGTTTAATTAACGAACAGTAAAACATACAGCACAACTAACAAAGATATGGTGATCACTATTTGATTCGTAATGAATTACGATTGTCTGTATTATGGTTCAAGAGGGGGATTTATATTATCAATTAAATTGCACTGGCAAAAATTCAAAATCATTTTCTACTAGTGTCAAATACTAGATACTAAATAAATACTCTTGGCACAATTATTTTTGTTGAATGTTTCTAACACTGCCGCATTGGGTTCTAGCTAAAAATAACACATCAGTCAGAACCTTTGACTGCGATTTTAGAAGGAAGGGACCAAGACTAATGGTCAAGTTATGGCCCTTTGTAAAATCCAACAATTAATCTCAAAAATTAATAATTAATTAATTTAATTCTTAACTAACCATGAGAATGAGCTATGTCCTTGAGAAAAGAACCGACGCAGTGCAAACATTCCCCCTCCTTCTCTCTCTCTCTCTCTCTCTCTCTCTCTCTCTCTCTCTCTCCATCTATCTAAAGGGTAAATCTATGCAGCTTTTCAAAAAAGAAGAAAGAAAGAAGCCTTAGGATTTCAAGAAAAAAAAAAAAGATAATGATTGCATTGTGGATCATGATCCTTTACCACTATTTTTGGTGCTGCTGAAAAAGACTAATGAATGTGGCAACGGAGTCCCCAGTTCTCTATTTTTAAAGGAACCTAACGGCTTCCATTGTCACCTAGCCAACGTACATACTGCCACTATCAGAGGCAGGGCAACAATTTTACATAAAACATTATAATGTTACGAGCTTTTCCCCCCGATTAACTACTGTAAGGATCATACCAATAATTGTGATTGCAATTAGCAATCTCTTCCCTCTCTTAAAATATCATTGTGTTGCAAGGCATTGTGATGTCTGTTGAGAAGATTAATTTGCGAGTGCAGTCCCACATCGGATAAAATAAGAAAGAGTTTGTGAGTTTAAATATGAATTTAGGTCAATACGTAACAGCTATAGTTTTTGTGTTAAAATTAATTTCTAACTTTTGTTTAAGGCTCATCGACTCTAGATTGTGACTAAGTTCTCCCCCAGCAAATGATATCCCAAATGTGTTGGTGAAACCCATGGATGCCTGTAGATGTGTTATAGTCTTGGTTGGCCACCATGAGTAAAATGGTGGAAGATCCTGTGGATTTCTGATAGTCATGTGCTGAATGCATGGTCAGATTAGCCCACGAATGAAGTAATTCAGAAGTTACTGATGAATTATAGTTGAATTGAACTATACTCACATATTAGTCTTCAAGCGGGGGTTGTTGAGAAGATTAATATGTAAGCATAGTCCCACATCGTATAAGATAAGAAAGAGCAATAAATTTTAATAGGAGTTTGTGTCAATACTTAACAGCTATAGCTTTTGGGTTGTAGATTGTTGTAATAGAATCTGTACTCCTCGACCTATTCACTTGTACCAATAAACGATTACATCTAGAATAGTTTAGCATCAGCATTAGCGTCATGCAATACGTTCTAAATCCGGAACTCTGTGGGGCCTACCAGAAATCCATTTTGAGTTGGGCACACGGTATCAACGTATCATCATTACGAACCCAATTTAAGATTCTGACTTTGCTTTTAGAGTCAATATATTGTGTTATCATTCATTCACCAATTCAAAGCACCGTGTATAATCAAACCCCCTCTTTTATAAAAAAATATAAATAGAAAATGCATTAGTGATTTGAGGAGCCCACCATA